GTAACCTCAGAAGTACCCATGGGCTACTTGGACGTTTCATCATTGATTGGATTCCTCTCTTCCCATTTCTAGGCATAGCACTGACAGCCTGAAAAGAAACTCATTTCTGAAGGCCTTCCCCTACCAAGACCTCACTGTCAGAAAATAAACAAGCCATTGTTTATCTGACCCATTTTAGGGCTTGAATTCATTAGGAAGTAAACGTCAGGGGGATGTTTCATGTGGGGGCACTGTCGTGGCCCGACCATCCCTGTCAGCCCACAGCTGCAGTCAGCTCACTCTCAGCCTCAGGAGTCACCATGGGGTGAAAATGCCCAAGGACCAGGAGCCTCAGACGCCTGTGTTGTATCCAAACTCTGTCTAACCAGCTGTTTAAGAAGTCTGTCTCCTCTCAACGAAGTCACACTGGACTCCCGCGTTTTCCTCTCTAAAATGACAGAAGGGGACAAGTTGAGTCTAGGAGGCTCATGCATTAACCACACACATATGGCCTGTTGGATCACCCAACAAGGCTTCACATGGTGTTGCTTTGTTTTGTTTTTGAGACAGAGTTTCGTTCTTGTCACCTAGGCTGGAGTGCAATGGCTCAATCTCATCTCACTGCAACCTCCACCTCCCAGGTTCAAGCGATTCTCCTGCCTCAGCCTCCTGAGTAGCTGGGACTACAGGTGTGCACCACTACGCCCAGCTAATTTTTGTATTTTTAGTACAGACAGGCTTGTAAGCCAGGCCAACTCCTGACTTCAGGTGATCTGCCCGCCTCAGCCTCTCAAAATGAAATTTTAATTAGTTGCCAACATTTAAAAATTTGGAGAATTCGCATAAAAATCCCAATTTCTAATACTCAAAAAAAAAAAAAACTCTGAAGATCTGGGACCACCATACTGAATACCAGTAAGACTTGCTGCCCATCACAACGCCCCAGTCCTTACCATTCCCTATTGCCTTCCCAACACTGAGGCTAGGCGTTGGTTTTTCTTACACATGTCCCAAATCACAGCTCACTCACTCACATCCCCTGCAAGGCTGCTGAGCTAGATGAGCTCCCCAGCCCCGATCACCTTTAAAACTCTGTGACTTTTCCTAACACTTCCTCTTTTTCCCTCCTTTTCTCTAAATATATCTCATCCTTGGGTTCTTTTGGCAGAACCACCTACCAGTCATAACAGGAGTTCTTAGTCGTAGCTGCACATTTGAATTACTGGGGGAGGCTATGGGAATCCCAGTGTCTAGGCTACACATAGTAGTGAGATCCAGGCAGCTTTGAAAGCTCCAGGTGATTCCCGTGTGCTGCCTAGGTTGAGAACTTCTGCATTAGAGCTGAAAATGCAATGGACTCGTTTTGGAGGGGCAAGCTCCTTGTTATGGGACATAGTTAAGCCAAGGTGCATGAGCACTTTGCAGGGATGTATGGGAGGATCCCCGCATCAGCTGCCGCTCTTCTGAGATTCTTCTCCTCTTTACAGTCCCCCTGCCTTTGCCCCTCAGAGCCTCCCAAGCTCAGCTCAGTTGAGCATAGATGGTGCTAAGGTGGTCTCGGCAAGGGCTCCTTATCCAACAAACCCTAAGCTCAGCATCAAGCGTCCCCAAGCCAGCACTGCCCCTCCTGCCTCCTACATACTAGCTGATGACTAAGCAGATGGCCATGCAGGGTAGTCCCAGGACAGTCACATTAGATCAACCACATTCCTAGCCACCCACCTGTCTGTTGGAGCTGCATCATAAAGGGGAAAGAACAGGGACTTGGGGTCAGAAGGCCTGAAGGAAGGACCTGGTTCTACTCCTTGCCATCTGGGCATGTTGCTCAGTCCTCGGGCCCTGAGTGGAGCCTGGGTCTGAGGTGTGGGCCTGAGTCGAGGACACCCTCTAAAGTGCTAGGTGAGGTAGGATGCTGAGAGAGGGTCAGATCTCAGCTGGGTGATACAGAGGAAAGGGAGGAGCTGTGAAGCATGGTTAGGAAGGTTTGGAGAGAGAAAGGGGTATGAAATGGACCTTTCAGATGAGATATTTAGCCCGGAGCTGAGAGCAAAGTGGAGACATGGGCCAGTCTCTAATAACCCTGATCACAATATGGCCATTTAAAAACACCCAAGTCGCTACCATTGTACTTTTAGCATCTCAGGAGTTCTTGAGAGTGGCACCAGTGCTCTACCTGGCCAGTGGGACACGCCACCCTAGTCTGCCTCTCACATTCCCAGAACTTCTTGGAGACTGGTACCACCCTGCCCCAGTCTTCTCCCCACCTCATAGAAAATTGGGGTTTGTGATTCCCCTGAAATCACAAATATAAGAGGAAAAAGCCCAAAACATACACACCTTTTCTGGGAAGCATCCTTTCCCATTCCAAAATAACCATTCATTTCTTCAGCCACCATGAGCCTTAGCACAGAGACAGCAGGACAGATACCCTCCAGGACCCCACAGCTCAGCATGTAAGGCAGGCATGCACACCCCAGCCCCTGGCGCATGGTCTCCATGTGTGCCCAGAGGGACATACTTAGCACAGCTCAGAGATGGGCAAAAGCTCAAAGGAGTCTTGATCTGAGCCTTGGTAGGAAGAGGCACTAGGAAATAGCACAGTGCCATGTTAGCTGCGGGCCAGACCTTCTGGGGAGGGGTGCAAGTGTTGGTGGGAGCTGAAACTGGTGGGCTGCAGGGGCCAGGTTTTGCAGAGTTTCTGAACCATGGAACTTGGGTTGTATGTGGAGCAGGCAGAGATTTTGGAAAAATGTCTGGGGGGCTACTAGGTGGAGGATGGCTCACTGTGATGGGCTGACACCACAGAGACTTCTCAGAGGTAGCGCAGGGAAGAAATGACGAAGATCTCAGCATCCACAAACACTTGCTCCTGTTATTTTTCAAATGTGCTGTGTTTGCAGTTACCAGAGACGCTGCCCTGTTCTGTGTCTGCCTTTGTCCCTCCCTTGGGTTTCCAGTTGGAAAATTCTGCTGCCAGGAAGTTTCTTGGCCTAGACAGGATGAAATCAGAGAAACCGCGAGGAAAGGGGTCTTCGAAGGACAGGCCTACGAAGCAGCCACGTTGTCTCAGGGCCACCCAGGCGGCTCCTGCCACACCCAGGAGAATCGTGTTCACTCTGATTTGGCCACCTGAGACCATGGCCTCCATCAGCAGTGTCGAAGGGAAGATTCAAGTAACCCAGCCCCATAGTCAGGATGGGGATGTGGGAATGAAGATTCTCGAAATGCATTTTCTTTCATCAAACGTTACACGATTACATGACTCACTGAACTTACATAGGTAACTGGCCATCTATAACATTGTCTGATTCACAGGCTAACACCTCCCACTCTAGGAGGTTTTTTGGGTTTCCTTTTTTGAGCTGCAAAAGGGAAATTTTGCAAAAGGAAAGAGGCATTTGGGCTTCTAGAAAACCTGTCCCTCCTACCCCAACGTTTCAGCTAAAAGCACTGAATAATATTAAACAGTTTCCTCTTTCAGCGATACGTACGTGTTTTTTCTGACCTATCTTTACTTCTGGCCTGCATTTAATGAATGAGTTTGATTATACAGTCACGTGCATCTCTGCAGAAATGTCAACAGAAACCATGCTGGCCTTTGCTTTAGTTAGGGAGGGCAAACCATGGAGTTTGCTTGGACAGAAAGATGTCAACTGTGTCCAGTCTAGAGACACAATGGTAAGAAATCTGCGGTAAGGAAAATGTCTTTCTGCCAAGGCACAAGCATTGCTTTTCAAGGGATTCACCCTAGGGCAAGTGGAAAGTTTTACTGGAAGTAAAGACATTAGACCACACATCAGTGTATGTCCTGAGTCCCAGAGGAGAATAAATGTGATGGAGAGAAAGATGATAACAAATAGAATGGATGTTTTCCCACTTAGGGAGAAAATTCTAGATTTTCTTGGAATGTTGGGACCTGGAAGATATCCTGGAGATCACCTAGACTGTGCCTCATCATTTCATAAATGTTAAACATTAGGTTCAGCAGAGCTAAGTGACTTGCTCAAAGACACACAGATAGCTGGTGACCGAACTTCAGTAAAGCTCAGGTCTTGAGTTACTTACCGCCTCTGAGCCTGCTTCCTAGTCCGTGGAATGGATGTGGTCTCTTCCTCACTACATTCTTGGCTAAGGTGTACCCTGCACCCTGCGCTCTTCCTTCTCCGTGTTTCCTCTCATAACCCTTTGACAGAGGACTTGAGGCAGGACGCGGGGATTCTGTTTCAGAGGTGGGTACACCAAGATGTAGTGAGGAGTCCTTAGAAGAAAGAGAGTGGGCAGAACCCAGCCCTGCATGGCAAACCACTACACAGTGCTCCCAGGACAGTCACTCGCGGTTACAGATGAGTATCAGAGATGGGGTCCTGTGGCAGGGACAGCAAGGAAATGTCAAGATGCTCAGGAGGCGAGGATGGACTCAGGAATGCTGATCCGCAAGGGGACACCCCGTGGGACTCTCAGAAAGGCAGTGGGTACCATGCAAGAGCCAGTGTTTTCTCCGAGGTCAGCAAACTGCTGCTTGAGGGCCAAGCTTGGCGACACCCATGTGTGCTGTCTGCAGCCCTTTCATGCTACAGCTACACAATGATCAAGTTGTATTGGGATTTTTATGGCCCCAAACCCAAAAATATTGCCAAAAATCATCTAGCTCTTTACAGAAAAAGGTTGCCAACTCCTGCTCTAGCTGTCCATGGGCCCGTGTTCAAGTCAAGGTGCTGCCCCTGTCTACGCAGGTAGCCTTGGGCAAACCATTTTCACCTCGGAGCTCCATTTCTGCATCTGTCCCCACAACAGGTTTGTGCTGAGAATTTCATAACTCATATCTGTGACCGCACCCAGGCTAAGGAGCAGTTCAGTTGCTTCAAGGTGCTTGTCAGTCCTCTGTGGAGGGAACCAGAAATGTGTGGCCTGAGCCGTCCCTGTGGTCCCTGGAGTGGCAGAAGGTAGGCTGCTGGGCAGGATAGAATTTTCCTCTTCCTGGAAAGGACTCACATACCCATGTTTCTTTTTCTTTTTTCCAGATACTGGCTGACCAATAAAGTCCACATCAAAAGACCCACCACCGGCCTCCTGATGTATACCCTGGCCACACGCTTCTGCAACCAAATCTACCTCTACGGCTTCTGGCCCTTTCCGCTGGATCAGAACCAGAACCCAGTCAAGTACCACTATTATGACAGCCTCAAGTACGGCTACACCTCCCAGGCCAGCCCCCACACCATGCCCTTGGAGTTTAAGGCCCTCAAGAGCCTACATGAGCAGGGCGCTTTGAAACTGACTGTCGGCCAGTGCGATGGGGCCACGTAAGGTGGGCGCCCCGTGGGACTCAGTGGCTCACATTTCCTGCCAGCTACACCACAGGCAGATGGGAGTCGGGGTGGCACAAACAATAGAACAAGCAGGCTAGTGGTTTTCTTTGTTAAAGTGTAAAACAGTGACCAGAATATATATATCTATACCTGCATATATATATTGACCTGAGTATTTATAACTGTGTGGTGTTCATCTAGCATTAGGCAGATAGGCCACAGGAAGAAGGTGTGGAGAACCCACCTGAACCAGATTGAGACTCAGTCCATCTTTGGGGGTGGAAGGACTTGACATGAAAAGAAGCCAATCCCATGACTTTGGATGACTAACTGCCTCCTGGTTTCAAGGGATCTTTGGGCTCATGGATGAATGGAGAGCCACCTGTTGTCAGCTGCCCCAAGCCTCTGGGATACGTGGATTCGGGGAGAGCCAAGCTCCAGAGGGGACACTTGACCCAGTCTAAAGTGGGTGCTATTCATGGAGGAGAGGGAGGTTGGATAGCTCTACCGGGCAAAGGAGCACAAGGAAACCAAGCAGCAGAGGCCCCATCAGCACACAGGGCCTTGTTCCACGAACTTAGAGTTTGACTGCCCAAGGGACAAACCATGATCAACTCACACGTCTCAGAGAGACCTCCACGGCTACAGAGAGAAGGCTAGAGGAGACACAATGGATGGTTCATATTCTGGCTTAGCAAGAACCACCAAGAACTTCTGGTGACGCAAGCAGATGACACTGAAGAGGTGGAATGTTCTGAATCATATTTTTGAAAAAATCTAGACCTCCTGCAAGGTCTAGGGCCCATCTGACCCTAGAATAAGGCAGGGGAGTGTCTACAATCTAGTTGCATTGGGTGCTTTTTAAAGCAACATGAGTCCATCGAGGAGGAAGAGACCCTGGGATTTCACCTTCTGAGTTAGTCTCGTCTCACCCTGTTAGAATGTCACATGAGGGACTGTACTGTCCCCTCTGCCAACAGGGAAGCCACCATGAGAGCTTGAAAGGGTGCTGTCAAGATAAATGTCATCCTTCTTAACAGACATAGGATTGCCCTTTGGGGTGCCTCACAGAGCCTCAGAGCGTGAGACCTGAAAGAATGTGAAGCATCTGGCTCCAAGTCCCTGCAGTCACTCTGTTTACCTTCTGCATTCTGCACTCTGCGGGACCTCTGCAGCCAGGCTGCTGTGTCAGTGTCACTTTCTTGTCATTTTCCTACCCTGACGGTCACACTAGCCCACACCAAGCTCCAGCATTGAGGTTTTCAATTCTGCAGGGAGAGGTTCCAACGTCCACCCCACCTCCATGCATCCCCCTCTCCCCAGAAGCAATGATTTTAGAATTTTTCTAAATCCTTTTTTCCCCCTATTGAGATTAATAGTACGAGTTTAAAAAAGAATGCCCAAAGCCAAATGTGATTCCAAATAGTGGGCATAACCTCCCAGAAAAATCTGGGCTAGATGCCTGCAACTTATGGGCTGGAATCACAGGTCACACATAGAGAAACATAGCCAGCTTGACTCGTTAGACGTATTCCTTTGCCTGATAAATAACAGTGTTTTAAAATATATTTGAAGGGTAAGTAAAAAACTATCTTGAAGGTGAAGGGAGTTAAGAAAAGCAATCAAGACCTGCTCCTAAGCATATGAGACCAGACATAATTAATCAATGGCAGTGCAGAACAGGACCCTGACTCTAAGTTAATGGTTGACCAGAAGGGAGTGGAGGCAGCAGAACCATTAACCCCACACTCGAACACTCCAGCCCAAAGCCGTGAGGATGATGATACATCTCTGCATTTTCCTTTGTTGTTGCTTGAAATCTGTGATTGGGGATTTATGTTATAAAATGAATATTTTACAAAGGAACAGCACTAATGGCTTCTGTGGGAGCTGAGTGGTTTCAGACTCTTCACGGGCGGTGGAAATAATTAGTATCATATTTCATACGTCTCCAGAGCCTTTCATCTTGAGGATCTCAAAGACCCTAGAAGACATTTAATTTCTAAAGCTTGAAGTGACCTGGGGAGTGGGTAGAGTTTCCAGCAGGGCCTTGAGGGATTAACCAAGGCCTTGGATTCCAGATGTTTCATGGCAAGCACTGCCGGGAACTTGTGTCAGGTTCTGGAGTTGGCCCTGAGCTCTGTCCACCCAGCCAACACGCCACCATCCCTTTGCAGGAGTCCAGAACGTGGTTTCCTTTCTGCCTATCATAGTCCTGGCTTCTTAAATTGAAGCTGATGTGAGCTGGAGTGCAAGGAGACCTTCCACCCTGCCTTCAGGTTCTCTCTGGAGAAAGGTTGGAGACCCCAGGATAATCAACAGGTGCGCTCTTCCCCCACTAGGCATGAGTCCTGCACTGCCAAAATGCCCTGGCCATGTGATGGCGGAGCTCCAGGAGCCTTGGCTTTCGTTGGCTCACTGTCCTCCTCCATCTGGGCATGCACAGTCAGGGGCCAGTTGTCCTTTCCTGCCCATTCAGAGTTCAATTTGAGCCTCCCCTGCAGTTCCTGGTGTAGGCCAGCTGACCTTGGGTGGCCCCAGGGAGTCGCACAGCCTGTACCCGGCCCCCAGATCCACTGCTGTAACTGCAGGGTCACAGGCACCCTGGGAGAATGGGCCTCCAGCCTCAGCTGGCTCTCACTGCTGACAGGCACCCCTCTGTCACCTCCTGCCACCTGTCGGATGCCCAGTCTGCCTGCCATCACCCACCCAAGCACTTCCAACCCACATTCTCCCCAAGTCTCAACACACCCCCCGTCATTGTCCTACTTCATGGAAGAGACAGAGCCTTCTGAAATGAGATCTGCCCTTAAAGTCTCTTGTCTTCTTCCTCCGCTTTCTGAGGAAACATCGCCCCCACCAGTTGTTTCCTGTACGCCCTCACTCTCTCTCCTCCACCTCTGTTGCCTCTGCCCATCAGCACATGCTGACTCCACCATGTTGGCTTCTGCAGACTTTACCCTCACTTTCTTCTCCACCAGCCCCAGGAAGGGCCTCCAGCACCTACGACTGCCCTCCCTCTTGAGGCCCCTCGGCTTCCCCCAGCTCCTGGCAGCAGCGTCCCAGCGCCTCCAGGACACACATCTTACCCCCCAGCTCTCCACGCCACTTGGCTCTGCGTCGACTCCTCCTGGACTCCCCCGGCCCCACGGTACCCAGAATGTCATGTTCTTGTGTTTCTTCTCCTTTCCCAATCCCTCTCGGCCATGTGTGTATTTAAGTATGTATGTATTTATTTATTTATTTATTTATGATTTATTTATTGACACCCCTACTTTGATCGACAAAGAAATCAAGGTAGATCTGACCAGTATTCCCCTCTCTTCTCCTTGCCCCAATGCGTGGACATGCCTTACACTGGTGTCCTCTCCTGGGTCCCCCTGAACTCTTCCTCAGCAGCCTCAACCTGCCTTAAGACCAGGCCACACCTTTATAAGCTGCCCCCACCCCAACCCATCTCTGCAGCCCAACCCTCTCCTGAGCTCCAGGCTGGGATTACACCTGCTGGGGGGACACTCACCCCATCTGCTCTCATAGCAGCACCATCAACTCAACATGTCAGAAAGCCAAGTGGATCATCTGTGTCCCTTCGCACAATCCCTCCTTTTTCTACTGAAAGACCCATGATTCCAACAGCCACCCAGTCTGAGACGCTGACGTCATCCTCGACTCTTCTCCCACGTCCTGCCTTGCTAAGTCTTCCCGCTAGCACTAACCTCACCTCTTTACTTGTCATTTGACTATTTCAGCAACAGTCTCACCTCCCAGATTACCTCTGTGCACGCTGACACATTGTCCAGTCCATCCTGAACATGCACGGTGATTTTTATCTCCCGTTGCACACAAACATTTAAAAGTTCCCCAGCCCATGACAAACGTACAGTTCTCTATTTTGACATTACAGACTACCAGGTAAGGCCCCGTTCTTCCTTTACACCCTCCCCTGGCCAGCATAGCAGAGCTGTTTTTCCTGGAAAGGGTGCCTGCATTTTCCTGTCTCTGTGCCTTTGGTCTTGCTGTTCCCATCCCCTGGAATGCTCCCTTTTCTTCCCTTCAAAGCTCATGCAGAAACCACGTCTTTCATGAAGCCCTCCTGAGCTACCAACCACTGGGATCTCTCCCTCTGCTGAACCACCATAGCACTTTATTTGTACCTTTCTCATGGCACTTACCATATTCTGCCTTGTATTATAGTTATTTGTGCACTTGTCCTATGACTGTTCTTAGACTGTAAGCTCGCCAAGGGCAGGGACTGTGTTTTATTCCCCTGTAACCATCACAGCACTAGGCGTGGTGCATAGCACACAGCAGTTCCTCAATAAATGTTTGTTGGATTAAATCCTTAATGCTTGTGGAGGGTTTGATAGTTAATGAAGTTATTTTGTGTCTATGTCACAGGAGCCTCTGAAAAATCATGTGGGTTGGGCCAAAGCAGGACCATTGTATAGGTCCTAAAACTGAGGCCAGAAACCTGCATGAAGCCTCATTGCTCCCTGGTAGAATTTCCACCCAGGTCTTCTCATCCTTAGTTCAGGGCTTTTTCTGTTCACTTTTGTGGTTGGGTCGCTGTAAACTGAAACCTGACCCTATGCAGAGGCCTAGACACAGAGACCTGGCAACCCTCAGCAGGAACCCCATCAACGCAAGCAAAATCTCGCTCCTTTCTGGGAAGGACAAAAGCCATTTGGGTTTTATGAGGCCTGGGCTGCAGGACCCCAGCGATCGTTACCACTGCTGTTGCTGCAGGGTAGGAAACCGTCCTTCCAGATGGCAGGGAGACCCACAACTCCAAGAGGCTGCTGCATGATCAATCGCTTCATGCCTAATGAAGGCTCCCCTTCCAGAATGAGTGGAAGAGGGATGTTTATGGATGCCAGTCAGATGGGACTCCAGACACACAAACTGCCTCGCAAATACCCCTAGTGGCATCCCCCATGACACTGACAGCCTGCCCCAGCCCCTGTCTCTCACCAACACTACGGATGTCATCTCTTCGCATCTTTATCTCCGTTCTTTGCTTTCTGTCTTCAGGGCTCTTCCCTTGGCATTCCCCAAGACCAGAGTGAGCCCAGGGAGCCAAGTGGCATCCCTTCTTCTTGGGTCCCTGAGCCCTGGCCTGGAACGATGCTGTGAGATAGCAGGAAAGGAGAGGAGTGGGGAGCGGGAGGCACTCTATGCCACCCCTTGTGGAAGCAGAAAACAAACAGGCTTTTGTTCTGGTGGCGGGTCATCCACAACAATGGGATGTTTCCGTGGTTCCACCTAGAGGCAATATCTTAGTTGCTTGGGGCTTTAGGATTGGGATAGTGTAATTTCTATCCTTAGCAATCCAGGTGATAGGGCAATTTCCATATACAGTCCACTGAACCATCCCGCCCCAGATCATGATTTCTTTAGAATCATCATAGTTGTTTGCAGCCAAAGCCCAATAGAACCACCCGGCAAAGAGCACTAAAGGTCCCTTGAGGCCTTTCTCAGTCTTCCTCACTGCTTCCCCAGCCACCTTCCCCTAGAACCTGGGGGATGGGAAATGGGGCCACCATGGGCTTCCAAGAATTGTGACAAGAAAGACCTCGAGCTCTCCAGCCATGACATTTTTCAATGTTTAAGAGTGTTCCCCAAAACTGACCCAGCACCAGCTATAAGCAGCTACTCCTTAAGGAATTAATAGAAAATGAGGACCCAATGGCCAAGAAGAGGGAGGACTGCCATGCAACCCACATGGACCCTGGTGTGATGGGTCCTGTCAGTCACAGGAGGAGTGCAGCCCTCCATGGAGCATACTGAGGTGAGCTAAGTGGTGATGCTGCAGGAAAACACCCTTTCTATTTGTCTCCACGTGTCTGTATTTTCTAAAATGAGGCTGTAATGGTGGAGCTGCTGGACAAAGTCAACAAAGGGATGACTGGCCCCTCAGAATCATGAAAGCTTAAGCAAAGTTGCGTGTTGCAGGGAAGACCGCCCTGGGGCAAGCTGTTCGCACTCTCATTCCAGGGGCCAAGGTGGGCGAGAATATAACTCGCCGTGATAACAACAGCGGGGCAGGTGGCTTGGCTGCCTCTTGTGTTCACAAGTGCCCCAGCTCTGGGCAGGAGCCCTGGAAGGGGTGCCAGATGATCTGAGAGCCTGCCACTCAAGAACTAGAAGGCACGAATGAGACTCCTTGGCTCTGGTATTTTTCCATCTGTAAAGATGGAGAAGACACCTACCAACCTCCTTGATGGAGTTATTGCAAAAATGCAAAAACAGGATAAGGTAGAGAGAGAAGTCGGGTACAGGGATTGGGGATGCTCAGTGCTACAAAGGAAATGAAATGTACGCAGCTGTGAGTTTTCAGGATTCTGCTTGTCCAACATCGGATCACATTGTTGCCCTGCTTAAACCCTCAGTGGCTTTCCTTCGCCCTTGCAAGAAAATTCCAAGCATCTGACCTTGGCTTACAAGACCTTCAGCCCTCCTCCCTCTGGCCCCTTTTTATTCCAGTGTCAGGCCCTTTGCACTTGCTGTGCCTCTGCCTGGAGGTCTGCTTCCCAGCTCCTTGCCAGCCGCCTCTGCCTCATCTTTCATCCTTCAAATTGAATGTCACCTCCTGGGGAGCCTGCTCCTGGTCTCCCTCAGCTAATTACTTTCTATTATATGACACATTAGCCTGCTAGGTCGTCTTCATAAACTTTCTAAATTATCTCATTTATTTTGTAGTTCTCAACCCCAAGGAACCTCCTAAAAGATCCCAGTGCTCAGGCCACACTCCATACAAATTTAGTCAACACCTCTGGAAACTATCATGGCCATCTTCCTGGCCCACGGTCAGAACTGAGAAACAGTGACACATCTGCTCACTCATTTATGGTCTGCCTGCCCTTCTAGGATCTTCCAGGGGATCTGTTTTCCACAGGGGTCACCTATGCCCTGCAAGATGGAAGTGGCCATCCTCCAAAGTAATTGCTGATGACTCTGCCTGAAGTGCTGGCAACAGGCTAGGTATGGGACCATAACCCTGGCGCTCTCATCAGCCACAGACCAGCTTTGAATTTCCCAGTGGTGACACTTTACCCCTGCAGCTCCAGATAAATGTCCAGCATTTTTACCCATTAGCTGAGCTAGTGGGTGGAATTTTTCCAGGCCCCATTCGACCCGTTCAGATAATTTCACGACCCTTGCCTTACACAAGAGGCTCATTCCTGGCTTGCGCAGGCTTTAGAATCCTACCCTCTAGCCCCACCACAAAGGCCTTCACCAGCTCAGCTGCACATTGGAACCACTGGAGGAGCTTTAAAACCTCCTGAAACCTAGGCCTGGCCTTCAGGGAATCTGATTCCTTGGTCTGGGGTAGGGTCCCAGCATCTCCTGAAGCTCCCCATGTCACACAGAGATGTAGCCCCAGCTGGGAACCACTCACCCGGACCAGTTCCCGAACTTCTGTGACCACTTCCACGGCAGCCTCTCAGGCCCCTGATCTGAGGTCTTTTATTTCTGGCTTCTGAGAGTTTCCTTCCTTGATTCCAAGCTGGGCTCTGTTTTGTCTGGTGGGTTTTGTTGCCACTGCTGTTTTATTAGTGGCATCCAGGCCTATGGATTGCTGTATGCTTGCAGTGGGAGGAAAGGCCTCTCTACCATATTCTCTGCCTCCCTTTCCATGCTCTGTGAGGACGGGGCCTTGAAGCATCTCTGACCACTAGCACTGTGCCTGGCACAGAGTAGGCACTGAATAAACACCTGCTACATGATTAAAAGAATAAGTGTCAATGCTTCGAAGGAAGGCTTGCACCTGGCTGCCCCCCAGAGTGGGAAGGGGTCCCACCTAGTAGGAAGAGCACCGAGGCTTCTCCAGGACAAGAAGGAACGGCTCCCACTTTCTCTGTGAGGCCGTGTGTCTGGGCCCTGTGTGACTTGCTTTCTATAGTAGCCCCAGCTGGGGTGTTGTACCCATTTCACAGATCAAACAACCAAGGTTCTCAGGAGTTAAAGACATGTTTAAGATGCCAAAGCTCACAAGTGGCCGGTCTGATGCTGAAGCCAACATCATTATCATCATCTCAACGCAAAAGCCATGAAGGCCACTTAATTATACCAACCCTCAACCATCTTGTCATAAGGTGAGCCTGCACTCAGGAGTGCCAGGAAGACAGAACTCACCCTCCTACAGCCCAGACTCCCCGCAGGTTACTGCTTCACTCTGGTTCTTCCCAATGGCAAAGCGGATACAGACCCAGAGCACACCTGTGCAGCAATGCCAGTTGTTCAAGTGCTTCCTTCCCAGGTGGTCAAGAGCCACAGCTCTGAGCCCTGCATGTGCCCTGTGCTCCAGCACGGTGGCCAAGGTCCACACTGACTGGTCAGGGTCCCTCTGTGTGGGCAAATACTTTGCATATCACCCCTGCTCCCAGGCCCTCCAGGCAAGCAGCTAGGGGCCAGGTGGCCAATTGGGGCATTTGGACCACTGGGCAGGACACTAGAGCCTCACTGCGCTGGTGTTTCCGTGGCAGTTACTTCGGGTGAGCGGCTTGCCTCTTTTGCTTTCCATGCACACGTCCTTGACCCAAAGCAGTGTAGCTCCTGTAAGTACAGATTGCAAATTCACTTGCAGAAGCACAGAGAGGCACAGGAAGAGGCATCTATGAGAGTCTGCCAGACTTGGAATGAGCGAACCATCACCTGGAATACCCTCTGAGAGGCACACCGTGAAGGGCCAGAGGATGACAGAAACAGGAGGATCAGAGGACCAGAAAAGAGCAGGGAGTGTTCATTGAGCACTAACTAGAAGCTTTACATGGGCTAGGTCATTAATTCCCATAGCTACCCATTTGAGGTTGATGTTATTATGATTCTCACACCCCACAGAGGAGGAAAGTGAAGCAAGAGGTTGATAAACTTGCCCAAGGCCAAAAAACTAGGAAGTGGTTGCTCTGGGATTTAAGCTCCAGCCGTTGGGTTCCAGGGTGGTGTAGGAAGCCTCTAAGCTTGACCTTGATCTGTTGCCACTAAAGCTAATCAAGGTCATAAAACGGGGATAGATAACACCAGCTTCAGAGGGGGTGATGGAGCAAAGAGCAGTCTAGCCAAAGCGCCCAGTGCCATGGCTGACACACGGCAGACACCCAACTCATGGAAGGTAGCTAGCTACTCAAGTCAGGGTGCTGCAGGAACACAAAGCCATGCCAACATTAAATGTGGTGTTGACATTAAATTACGGGTGCAGCCTGCTCGATCATGATGATCCTAACTGTGGCTTTCAGGTAGAGGGAAACAGAGAAATGTACCTATTTTGCCCAGGCCTAGAAACTGAGGCCTGAGATCAATTCAAACCCACAGTGTTAGACTTCGTAGGCAAGTGATCCCGCCAGCT